CTATATGGCAGACAGACAGACAGATAGATAGATAGATAGATAGATAGATAGATAGATAGATAGATAGATATTAAAACATTGACGCTAAATAAAGTTAAAGCTTCCTTTCGTTAATAATAATAATAATGATAATAGTAATAAAATCGAAATTTCAAAAATGTGACACATGAGGACATCAACAATTCCATTTGTAGTTGGAGCCCTCGGATTGATTGGAAAAGTTTTCGATAGACTAATTAAAGGGATTCCTGGCAGCCCAAGCCTTTATGAAATACAAAAAATTATACTCACAAGTACAGCCCACATCTTACGAAGGGATTTATCCATGTAAAATGTGTGTGATTTAAGGTTGGTTTTTGTTCCAAAGGAAAGAAAATAAATATATATATATATATATATATATATATATATATATATATATATATATATATATATACTAGCAGCATAGCCCAGCGTTGCCCATGCTTGATTCAAAAATCATTACGACTCATACACCAATCGCTATCACTTGACTTAAATTATTTTTTGCCCTTCCTTGCCTTTAAAGGAGTGCCATTTGCCGTGCTGATGTTGCTACATGCCCTACTTCTTGCCTATCTCACACTGCAAATTTTTTTCTAAGCTCTATACTAAACATTAAATCTGTTACGAAAAAAGAACTAAACAAAATGAACACAAAACGATAAAAAAGCATTCGTAACTGGAAAAACCGAATGAAAAAAGAATGTTAACAACAAATACTTTTTCACACCCAACCCAGTTCTACGGAATCAGAATCAACGTTAAGTTTAATCAAGCGAATGAGCCAATTGGAGTAGAGTGCCATGCAGATTTAAATTTTTCCACTTGTGACGAATGCAGCTAACGATTTTTTTTGCATGCTAGCATGGTAGTTAACATTCGTGTCAGTCAGCTGTTCGCTGGCCAATAGAATCTTCCTGCCTATTCGTGGCAGCCAGCTATTGGCTTCCACTCTGGCCCGTAGAAAATGTCCGCAAACTACATGAAAACTGCCGTAGAAGCATGAAAAAATTGATTAATTCCTCTATCGATGGGAGTTGGGAAATGCAACGTCGGTGTTGGCCTTCTCGCTAACTTGAAGCATGTGTATGTAAATTTTGGTGCAAATCCGTCGAAAATTGCGGCCGTGCATTCGTAACACACACACACACATCCTGCCTTATATATATATATATATATATATATATATATATATATATAGGGTGCGATATGTAAATTGTCGTCATTTTATTTATTTTTTTAAAACTTCGCGCATGCGCGTTGGTTTGTCTTTGATTCTGTTGTCTGCACAGTATAGCAGGATTAATTAGGCACCGTCTGGGAGAAGAAGAATACCTTGACGCAATTCATGTCATGTTATACTGCTTGGTATTCGCACCGGAAGCGCTAATGCGAACCTTTCAGAATGTTTGGTTGTCTGTCTAAATACAGTGCAGTGGATTCGGAAAGAGCTAGATAATGTACCCAGTCAACATCATGGTACTTGGAGTGATCACTAGTGAATATGGGACATTAATCCCCCATTCATCTTCCCACAGAGTCTCAGGCTCAAACAGAAGCCTATATCAAGTGCTTTGAGGAGGTAGTGCTGTCACGGGTCAAGAGGGTGGCTGCTGGAAGATTCTACGTCTGGCAACAGGCCTCTACATCGTGTCACACAAGCAGTTGAATACAGTCATGACTGTCAGACAATTTCTACGACCACATCATCCTTTACATTTGGTCACCTAACTTCCCTGACTGCAAACCCCTTGATTATCATGTGTGGGGTGCAGTTGAACGGGAGACTAACAAAACTCCTTTTAACACCAAAGATGAAAGCAAGGATTATGGCAGTATTCACCAACTTAAACAAGGAGACCGTTCAGGAGATTCCAAAGCCGTCTGGAGGCCGTGATTGAAGTCAACGCCGATTTTGTTGAATAAATTTACTCTTTAGTATTTCAAGCTATTTTTGTGTAATTTTGGTAATATATATCTGTTAAAATGAGATGTTGGTGTTATTTTAATTTTTGCGTAATTTAGACGACAATTTATCCATCGGTTTCTGTATACATACAGGATGTGTAAGGTATTTAAACACACACACATATATAATATGTGTGTGTGTGTGTCTCTGTGTGAAAGGCCCGACATATAGATAGATAGATAGATAGATAGATAGATAGATAGATAGATAGATATGAACAGCCTGAGAAATTAAATAGATATTAACGTAATTAGATAGATAGATAGATAGATAGATGGGACACAGATATGGAAAATACTATATAGATATCAACAGCGATAGATATTAACAATTTGAAATTTGCCCAATGGGTAGAATACAGCGACCTCCCTTTTTTAAGGATTGGACGGGTCCTACTAACATCAGTTATGTTTTAGTTTGCTTTTTGTTGGTATTTTTATCTATGAAATATTTATTATCATCAAAATTTTAAATCTTGGGGTGCGTTTTGTAGGTCCCTCCTGAGAGGAAGCAGTATTATGGTGATTCATTGGTGACGGACGAGTTTTTGTAATGAATGCGTAAATTGTAACGAGTGAATGGGTCGTGAATCGGATTAGCTAGGTATAAGATAGATAGTGAAGTCCAGCCTCAAGCCCTTTCCCCCTTTTCGGCCTTGTGCCATAATTGTATTTTTATACAATAAATATCATCAAAAGATTGAGATAGATATTAAAAGACTTACACATACACACGCACACACACACATATATGTGCGTCAAAGGCCCGACATAATAGATAGATAGGTATGAACACACTGACATTGACAGATATATAGATAGATATGAACACACTAAGATAGATAGATGGATAGATAGATAGATAGATAGATAGATAGATAGATAGATAGATAGATAGATAGATATGAAACACAGATAGATAGATAGATAGATAGATAGATAGATAGATAGATATGAATGTGAACACTAAGATAGATAGATAGATAGATAGATAGATAGATAGATAGATAGATAGATGGATAGATGAATACACTTAGATAGATAGATAGATAGATAGATAGATAGATATGAACACACTAAGATAGATAGATAGATAGATAGATAGATAGATAGATATGATAGATAGATAGATAGATAGATATAGAAATAGACTTTAGATAGATAGATAGATAGATAGATAGATAGATAGATAGATAGATAGATAGATAGATAGATAGATATGAACATACTTAGATAGATAGATAGATAGATAGATAGATAGATAGATAGATAGATTTTGAAAGACCGGTGGAATATAACAACACTAAGAAATATAAATGCCATTTTTTTTTTTTTTTCTTTTTTTTTTTAGTGAAAAGTTCGAGGCACGTGTCATTATTTGTACCAACCCGTTGCCCTTAGGAAAAGTCAAATCGGGGCGAACAATTGCTTTGTTGCATTGTGTTCGTCTGTTTGCCTTACCATTGTTCCTTGTCCCCAGCGGGGTGTGTGGCGTATGCAGGAACGTTACTCGGACAATGTAAAGATGCACACGCACTTGCCACGCGCGAAAACATGTCCGGGATTATGGCGTATGCACACGTGCACGCGTATGTAGAATGCTTGCGTCTGACTTCATTTGTATTAATTGTATGGTAGAGAATGATTTTGTCGCTGTCTAGCGTAACTACATAATCGCAATTTTATTTTGTTTTCTAAACACCAGTATTCCAGTACATTCCTCTCATATTTCGTGAGTATGTGACAGATAGATAGATAGATAGATAGATAGATAGATAGATAGATAGATAGATAGATAATGAATAACCTCAGATAGATAGATAGATAGATAGATAGATAGATAGATAGATAGATAGATAGATAGATAGATAGATTGTTTTTTTAATTGCGTTCACACCAAGCAAGACATTAAAGCCACTAAAACACAAGGGGTTACTGGGTGTGGAAGAATTAGAAAACAGAAACATTACCAAAGATCGAGAACAAAAGAAAAATAATCAAGAGGACAGTAGATAGCGACTGACATTACATTTGAACTTTTGAAAATTAAAGTTGGCTGGGAAATATTGAGCCGGAAGGAAGTTCCACAAGCGAGAAGTGCGAGAAAATAAACGGTTAGCGTAGAATTTACAGTTACATCTAGCCAACTCAACGGTAAATAGATGAGACCTCGTTGCCAGTCAAGTACTGTGTTTAAATTCAAGTGCACTATAGCGAAAAGCTCATCAGAACAATTACAATAAAAGTATTTGTAGAAAAGAGACAGAGGTGCAATTTTATGGCGGTGGGAAAGTGACTGAAGCCGAAATAGATAGATAGATAGATAGATAGATAGATAGATAGATAGATAGATAGAAGGAAGGAAAGAGACTGTGATAGATTGATAGATAGAAAGAACGAGACCGTATTAGATTGATAGATAGAAAGAACGAGACTGAAATAGATAGATAGATAGATAGATAGATAGATAGAAACAAAGAAGGAAGGAACGAGTGAGATAGATTGATAGAAAGAACGAGACCGTGATAGATTAATAGATAGAAAGAACAAGACTGAAATAGATAGATAGATAGATAGATAGATAGATAGATAGATAGATAGAAACAAAGAAGGAAGGAAAGAGACAGATAGATTGATAAATAAAAAGAACGAGACCGAGATAGATAGATAGATAGATAGATAGATAGATAGATAGATAGATAGATGTGGCTGAGTGAGTATTAAAGAGAAAGTGTCAGAAAGTATGTGAAAGAGAAAAGAAAGAAAATATTTTAAACATGGTTTTCCCGACGAAATAAGAATTACAACAAAAAAAAAACACAAAAATGAATACATCCTGAACTACTGCAAAAGATCAATAATTGATCCCCCCCCCACAACGGATAAACACTGTATTTATGGAGATATTGTTTTCCAGTCCTCTTCTATGTGTCGTGTCCCTTCAGTGCGTAAGTGATCATTGCTCTCCACAACTTCCTATCATTTGTAGCTGTTAGCAATGCATGCCTTTTTATTATTCCACGCATTCCCTGTTCTGCCAATCCATTTGCACAAACTCGTTAGGATATTCACTGTTTACTTTATGTCTTTCTTGCCTTCCATATGTCCCGTGAGTGATAAATTTGCCAAACTTTCTTTATTATGTATTCTAGAAGTTTCCACTGTCACATTCTGATTTTAAGTATAAGCGTACATTTTGTTACCATTTTATTTAAACTTTCATCGTTACTCACGTGTTTATTCTCACTATCCTTCTGTGGAACCAGATTTCTGGTGTCTTAAATGTCTTCACTGTCTGGTCCAGTATTCACGGCCATATAAAAGTACCGTTATTAAATAATAGTTCCGTACTCTTTTCTTTGATTCAAATGACATTTTTGTTTCTTAATACTTTGCTTAACTTTTGAAAGGCATCTTTCGCTATCCCATTACGCCTTCCATTTTGTCCATCATTTACTGCTCTATAGAAAAACTAATATGACACATCAGTTGAGCACACTTTTCTTTGTTTCTAATGGAATGTTCCTGATAAAAATAAAAATAAAAATAAAAAAAACTGTTTAAGAACTTTGTTTAGCATTTCGAAGGCATTTTTCGTTATCCCAATGTGCCTTCGGATTTCGGTGTCACTCTATAAAAATTTCCAATTCAGAAATGATTCTGTTATATTCATTAAAAATCGGACTAAGAGAAAAACGCTTTTTAAAATCATGCTCTGGACACGGACTCAGCTGATAACTGATTTTTACGACTAATATTAATTGCCAGACGGTTATTTAACATCTTAAGAAAACTGGAGAATACAATGACAGAAACGATAGCAGCATAACACCGGAAGTGAGCCTCTTAATTCGAATAGCAGAGCCTATAATAACGATAATTCCTATCTCAAATATTCGGAAAAACTACAGAAGATGATTAGAAGAAACCAGGATATTTATTGTATATAAAATACAATTAGGGCACAAGACCAAAATGGGGAGGGGTTGAGGCTGGTCGTCATTATCTTTATACCTAGCTAATCTGATTCATGACCCATTCACACATTTCAGTTTCCATATTCACCATAAGAACTCGTCCATCGCCAATCAATCCTCCATCCACCATAATACTGCATCCTCTCAAGGGAACCTACAAAAATGCACCCCATGCCTTAAAAAATTTAATGATGATAAATATTATACATAAAATTCTAATAATGAGAGGGGAGGTAGATGAACCCAATAATAAACTAAAACTCAACACAAAGTAAACTAAACATAACTGATGTTAATAGGGCCCATCCAACCCTCAAAACGGAGAGGCTGCTGTATTCTGCCCATTGGACAAAAACAAGAAGCTCTCTCACTACGGTAGTGGGAAAAGGATAAAAATAATACGGGCATGGGAAAATATAAAGCTGACCCAGTCGAGATAAAAAGGGGAGGGTGGGGGTGCAAAACAAGCTGGGGAGGTTGGGAATCTCAACTTTAATCATAACCAAAGAGGCAGCCGGGAACAGGCCAGGAACAACACTTACATTAACTAGGTACACTAAAGCTTGTCTAACCTAACCAAGGGAAGGGCTCTACGGGAAACCATCCCGATGTGACGTAGGTTTGACTTAAAAGAGAAAATCCAGGCTAGCCCCATTCAAACGAACCAAGTTCGCCTCTTTCACCCACCTTTCGCTGAAGACTGTCGAATTCAAGCGTTTTCTATCAGTTCTAATCTTCATCTTGAGCTGATGTTCAAAGAATCGGATCAGATCCTAATGAGAAAGACTTCCTCTGTTCCGGTCGTCCAAATCACCATTCGGGCCGTGGCTAGCATCGTCAGAAATACCATCCGTTTCACCCCGGAATACGGGGGCGACACATTGTCACACGCGTATGCGCGATCAATGAGCACAAGCTTTTCGGGAGCGAGACAAAACGTCACCTCGCCGACATGGTCCCATAAGAGGCGGACACGGAGACAATGGTAGAAGGCGTGCGAAGCCGTTTCTTCCAGACCAAGGCCACACCATTCACAGTCTGGCAAATCCGCCAAACCCCATATGAAGACCTTGTTTATTGAGAGGCAGCCGATTCCGAACCAATCGCCAGGTAAGCGAAAATAACCAGGAGAAACTAATGGGTACAACAACAGAAAATATACAATTTCGGTACTTACGCCAATCGAGTCATCTCAGTGACACATGGCATATAAATTTACATATTTTTTTAATCACTTCACCACAAGCAAGGCGATAATGCCACTTAGACTCAAGGGAGAGTGAAAGAATGAGAAAACTTTAGTGAGTAGAAAGTACAATAAAAGAACAGGTTTCAGGAAGATAGGTATATTGCCATTGGCGTTGCATATAAATTTTTGAAGGTTGTGAATAGCAGAGAAACAAGAAACCGAACGCGAGTTCCACAGACGAGAAGTACGAGAAAAGAAACTATTAGAACAGGACATTTGAATAGAACCTGATGTTGCATCTAGCTAGTTCAATAGTTAAACGATAGTTGCCAATCTGGTCGTAAGCTTAAATTCACGCAGTCGAGTTACCAAGGAGAAAAGCCAATCAAAACAACTGATTGATTGATTCATTTTTTACGGCTTATCAATCCTTTGCAAGTTATTTAGAAACAGAAAATAATAATGATTTAATGATACGCAACTTGTTGATTGTAACGTGACTTAAAAGATTAAAGGTTATTGCTTTACGTCATCCGACGAATTAACTCTAGCTGGAATGTTTTCGAAGAATGGCGGAAAACACTGTTCTTCATTCTTCCATATTTCTCTGTCGACACACAAACACACACACATATAGATATATAATAAGGAAGATAGCCAGTTATAAATTTATTTCAACAGATATAAATATAAATATATATATACCTACCGCATCAGGCCGACTACATTTTATGAAATGATACAAATTCAGTCAGACAATCTGATAATAAACCAGACATTTAAAAAATAAAATATCAAAAATAAAAAATCCTACATGTAAGCTTGTAAAATATGCAATACTATATATATATATATATATATATATATATATATATATATATATATATATAAAAGGCAGGATGTGTGTGTGTGTGTGTGTGTGTGTGTGTGTGTGTGTGTGTGTGTGTGTGTGTGTAACGAATGCACGGCCGCAATTTTCGACGGATTTGCACCAAAATTTACATGCACATGCTCCAAGTTAGCGAGAAGGCCAACACCGACTTTGCATTTCCCAACTCCCATCGATAGTAGAAATAATCGATTTTTTCATGCTTCTACGGCAGTTTTCATGTAGTTTGCGGCCATTTTGTACTGGCCAGAGTGAGAGCCTATTGCTGGCTGCCACGAATAGGCAGGAAGATTCTACTGGCCAGCGTGAGAGCCAGCAGCTGACTCACATGAATGTTAACTAGCATGCAAAAAAAATCGATAGCTGCATTCGTCACAAGTGGGAAAAATTTAAATCTGCATGGCACTTTACTCCAATTGACTCATTTGCTTGCTTAAACTTAACGTTGATTATGATTCCGAAGAACTGGGTTTGGTGTGAAAAAGTATTTGTTGTTAACATTCTTTTTTCATTCGGTTTTTCCAGTTACGAGGCTTTTTCTAAAGCTGATCGTTTTGTGTTCATTTTGTTTAGTTCTTTTTTTCGTAACAGATTTAATGTTTAGTATAGAGCTTAGAAAAAATTCGCAGTTTGAGATAGGCAAGGAAGGGCAAAAAATATTTTAAGTCAAGTGATAGCGATTGGTGTATGAGTCGTATGATTTTTGAATCAAGCACGGGCAACGCCGGACCATGCTGCCATATATATATATATATATATATATATATATATATATATATATATATATATATATATTATTTTCTTTCCTTTGGAACAAAACAACCTTAAATCCCACATATTACATAGATAAATCCCTTCGTAAGGTGTGGGCTGTACTTGTGAGTATCATTTTTTGTATTTCATAAAGGCTTGGGCTGCCAGGAATCCCTTTAATGAGTCTATCGGAAACTTTTCCAATCAATCCGAGGACTCCATCTACAAATGGAATTGTTGATGTCCTCATGTGTCACATTTTTGAAATTTCGATTTTATTATTATTATTATTATTAACGAAAGGAAGCTTAAACTTTATTTAGCGTCATTTTTTTAATATCTATCTATCTATCATGAAAAAAAATCTATATGTATATAAATACACATTTAATGGCGTAACAAAAGTGCCAAAAAATTTCTGTCGTTGAAATAGACCAAACTATATGCATTGAACGGATGTCATCGTTCGTTTGAAAAAAGGCACTCCGACCCTACCTTGACTTTTCTAAAGTAACTAATATGTTGATATAATAGTTGTCATTGAAAATGAATGCCCTACCGCCCCTTATTAAAATGATTAGCTTTCTCCATATCCATAGAAATTAATATTACGAATGTATATGCTTATAAAGCTCCGTAAATTTCAAAATTAGTTATTCCAAAATTCGCTTGAGGATGAAACAGAACTAGCTGCTTTAATTTTTTTTTAAAATGTTTTTAGCTTCTGTTTTTTGAATATGAGAACTCTTATATAGCGCCTGAATCACATTTTTAAAAAATAATTATAATATTGGCTCTACTGTTGTATTGAGCACTGTTTATTAAAAATAATAAAGAATTTTGGATTATTAACCTAACGGTTTCTTTATTTTTTTCTATATACTTACACAGATATATATATATATATATATATATATATATATATATATATATATATATATATATATATATATGTATATATATATATATATGTGTGTGTGTGTGTGTGTGTGTGTGTGTGTGTGTGTGTGTGTGTGTGTACTACGTGTTTTACAGCTCTCACTAGCCGAGCGTGGATTGCGGCTAAATCACGCTGAAACACCGGTTTCAGTACAATCACAGAAGTTAAGCAATATCGAGCCTGGTCAGTATCTATATGGGTGACCGCATGGGAATACCAGATGCTGTAAGCTTCAATGTGCGGGTGGTGTAATGGATATTAGCTCGGAATTGTTAATTGGTGAGCCAAGTTCCAATTCCAGTTGGGTTCGATATATTCACTCACGCGTAAATACATTTGGGAAAGGTATGAATTCACTTCTTTCTCCTCCAGCTATGGGTTAATTAGTAAGACTTATTCCACTAAACTATCATTATCTCCTTATGCAAAAACTTCTTGCAATCTGAATATATTTTCTGACTTTAAATAGCCCTCAAAGGGTCGATAAGCCGTAGAAGATGAATTAATCAGTCAATAATCAAGCGACATTTGTTAAAATGAACGAAATTTAAAGAGCATTTTGTAATGTTTAATGGAGCTGTACATTATTTTTATGTTTAGATGCATTTAAACTGATCAAATTTTATTTCAGAGAACAATAAAATCAAATTTTGTTTGATTAAAACCCTGCTAACATGGAAGTACCCAAGAATCATTTGAGGCACATAATGCTTTATGAGTTCAAGAAAGGAAACTCAGCAGGCAAAATGGCTAAAAACATTCACTCAGTTTATGGAGAGGAATGTGTGAATGAAAGAACTTGCAGAAGATGGTTTGCAAAATTCAGAAGTGGAGATTTCACCCTTGAAGATGAAGATCGAACCGGACGTCCAGTTGAGTTTGATGAAAAGCTTCTTGAAGCAGCCCTTGAAGAAAATCCTGCTTTATCAGTTGAGAAATTGGCAGTGGTTCTCAGTTCAAACCATACAACTGTTCATCGTCATCTTCAACAACTTGGAAAAGTTCCTAAACTTGGAAAATGGGTGTCTCATGAATTGTCTGAAAACAACCTCAAATCCTGAGTTGACATCTGCTCTTCTCTCCATTCTCGCCAACTTGTTTCACCTTTTGGATAGACTTGTGACTGGCGACGAAAAATGGATCTTTATCGAAATGTTAAGCGTCGCAGACAGTAGCTTAGTAAAGGGAAGGACCCCAGCCACAGCCGAGAAGGGAACTTCATGGGCAAAAAGGTTCTTCTTTCAATCTGGTGGGATCGCCAAGGAATAATCCACTTTGAATTCTTACCACCTAATGCAACAATTAATGCTCAAATATACTGTCAGGAATTAGAACATTTGAACCAAGCTTTGAGGAAAAAAAGACCTGCTCTAGTGAATCGAAAAGAGGTGATGTTTCATCAGGACAATGCGCGACCCCACACAGCACGAATCACGTCACAAAAGATCGAAGAACTTGGTTGGGAGAAAATTCCTCATCCACCTTATTCTCCCGATCTTGCTCCTTCAGACTACCATTTGTTTCGTAGCTTACAGAATCATTTGGAAGAAACAGCTTTTGTGACACCGGAAGAGGTTAAAACTGATATTTGTGAGTTCTTCGAATCAAAGCCAAAAGAATTTTACAGTAATGGAATTAGTAAGCTTGTTAATAGATGGAAGGAAGTCATAGATAATCAGGGAAAATACATTGTTGATTGAATCTGTAATTAAATGTAACATTTGGTCACTTGTTTTATTTATTCAAAATTCGGACAGAACTTATGGGATGACCTGATATATATATATATATAAAGACAGAAAGAGAGATAGCTGTGTAAGACCTGACCACGTGAGAGATAGCGATAAATACCTACATATAATTAAATTAAAGATAGCATAACCCAAAGAGAAATAGGCTTAGATAAAAGTTCGTAAAAAAGAGGCAGCGACAGACAGTTAAATTGATATATAAGGAAAAAGTGAAAAAAGAAAAACATAGGAAAAAGATAGTGACATGACTATCGACCTATATATATAGAGATATGCAAAGGATAGATAGATAGATAGATAGATAGATAGATAGATAGATATTAATAGAGTGAAATAAATATGAACAGTGAAAATAGATAGATAGATAGATAGATAGATAGATAGATAGATATTAATAAAGTGAAATAGATATGAACAGACTGAAATGATAGATAGATTGATAGATAGATATGAACAAACAGAAAAGATAGCTATTAATAAAGTGAAATAGATGTGAATAGACTGAAAAAATAGATAGATTAATTACACTATTTACATACTATTTTCCTGATTTTTGTTGTTTATGCAAATAAGGATAACTTTTCATCCCAGATATTAACACATAGATAGATAGATAGATAGATAGATAGATAGGAAAAACATAGAAATTAACTTAATGCTCCAATAAAGATGTTGCTTCATAAATGTTATGGCCTGGTTCCTTGTACCACGATGATAGTCCAAGATAGAACCAATAAAGAAGAACTCGAACACGGATATGGAATAACACAGATATATTACAAACAGGAATATATACAGAGAAGTAGAAAGTGTTAGTACGAACAATCAGGTTTAGTAGTAATTGTCTGAACGCGACTCTGTTTCGGACTGCCTCTGGGTCGGTTTACCTCCCCGAAAGAGACGCCACCCTTCGGCGTAGCCTCGTTCGGGTTCCTCCCCGCCCGAAAACAGAGAGTTCAACCGATCAGCCGGTCAGCCGGTCGTCCGACTTCAGATTGAAATCTCTGCTTCCTCTTGAGGCGCAGTATTTATTACGTATGCAATAGTCCATTACGTTATTATGGGTAAGGTCCCATAACACCCCCCTTCCGAAAATTTTGCGTAGCAGGGGGTTTTAATATCTTTTTTTCTTTGGATCTATTTCCAAAGGTTCAGTAAATTTTCTTTTTCTAGACGATTTTCTTGGTTCTGGCATTATTTGCGGTCTTGTTGTATCGAATGTGTCGAAAATCGTGTCCAATACCTCTTCTTGAGGTGGACCGTTAGCATCCTGTAACGGTCTCTTCCTTATTTGGTTTACGTGTCTTCTGTGTGAGAATTTTTTTCCTTGAACTATGTACATCATATTGCCAATTCTTTTTCCAGCAAGAGGTATTATTTTTGTATGCCTTAAATAAAACTTTTCCCTTGGGAGGAATTTTCTTTTTGTTGTGTAGGACTGTGTTACTTGTTTTGTTTTAATTGGTCGTAATTTATCGAACGCTGATCTGATTTTCCTAGCAAACATGACTTCTGCTGGTGATAATGTTGATGGTGTCGCATTATTTGGCGTTATTCTATATACCTGTAGGAATTGCTGTAATGCTTTATCCGTAGGCACATCGTACGCTTTTCGTAATGCTCTTTTGAGAATATTCACGAATCTCTCCGCTTGTCCATTTGATCTTGGATGGTAAGGCGGGGATTTCATGTTTTACTTGATAGATTTCGCAAAACTCTTGGAAATCTGTTGCCGTGAATTGCGTTCCGTTATCTGTTACTAAACAGTCCACTACGCCAAACCAAGCAAATAGCTCGTGGAGGAAATTTATGGTCGTTTCTGTAGTAGGAATTTTGTACCGAAACATCTTCAGCCATTTACGGTAGCTATCAACTATGATTAAATAGTAGAACCCGTCAATTGGTCCTGCATAATCTACTTGTATTCTTAACCATGGACGATCAGTTTCAGGCCAAGGCTTATGTATGATTGGCGGTGCTTTAGCTGCTAAATTACAACCCTTGCACATTTCCACCATTTGAGAAATATCCTGGTCCATATTCTTCCAGTATACATAGCTTCGCATTAGCGACTTCATTCTATTTTTACCCGGGTGTCCTCTGTGGAAATCCTTTAGTATCCGTTTTTGTAAAGTTTTGGGGATTACAACCCTTTCGTTGTAAAGTAGCACATTATTGCATAGAGAAAAGCTGTCCGAAATTTTCTGATTTTTTTCTGCTATTTTTGCTTTTGTTTCATTAATAAATTCGTCATTTTTGGCTTCATTTTTTATGGCTTCATTTTTTATGTCTTGCAATGTAACTGGGAGGTTTCTGATTGTACAACATAGTACTGTTCTTATGTCCTCTTCATTTCTAAGGGCTGCGATTACCGTATCTTCCAATGGCTCTGTCTTTGTATGTATAAGTCTCGACAGACCGTCCGCGTGCCCGATTCTTTTCGTTGGTAAATATTCCAATCTGAAATTATAGTTCAGAAAAATCGTTCCCCATCTAAGTATCCTATTTGCCGTGTACACCGGTAGACCTTTTTTTGAACCAAATATTTTTATTAACGGTTTGTGATCCGTCTGCAGAGTAAAGTGTCTACCATAGACGTATCTATGGAATCTTGTTACTGCGAAGATAATTGCTAGAGCTTCCTTCTCAATTTGTGAATAGTTTTTCTCCGCTGGAAGTAGGGTTCGAGAAGCATGCGAGATAGGTTTTATTGTCCCATCTGGCATTTTGTGTAATATACACGCTCCGACACCGTAGGCGCTCGCATCACTTGCAACAATAATCTCTAGTTTAGGATCATAGTGTCCCAAAAATAAATCCGATGTTAATGTCTTGATTATTTTTTCAAATGTTTCCTGGCATTGATCTGTCCACTGCCAAACTTTTTCTTTCTTTAGCAGTTCGTTCAATGGTGCGCGAAGTTTATGAATTTGAGATATGAATTCCTGGTAGTAAATCACTAATCCAAAAAACCTTTGTAGTTCTGTTATGTTCTTAGGAACTGGCATCTTTTTTATTGCTGTAGAACTTTCAGGATCTGGACGTCTACCTTCTTGGTCTATTATATGGCCAAGATATTTAATTTCCTTCATAAAAAATCACACTTATTTTCTTTCACTTTGAATCCGTAGCTTTGAATTCTCTTAAACACTTCTTGTACATGTTGCCAGTGTTGCTCAACGCTTTCGCTATAAATCCATATGTCATCCAGATATGCTATTGTGTATTCTAGTCCTGCCTGCATCGTATCCATTGTCTGCTGGAAAATAGCCGGCGCTACTTTAATTCCAAATGTCTTTGGTATCTGTATAATCCCTTGTGTGTGTTTATGCATAGTCGTTTTGAACTTTCATCATCGACTGGAATTTGCAGGTAGGCCTCACTTAGATCAATTATTTCTGAACTATCTGCTTCCTCTTGAGGCGCAGTATTTATTACGTATGGAATAGTCCATTATGTTATTATGGGTAAGGTACCAT